AATAATAATAAGTGCTAAGGTGTGAAGGTCTAAACTTGAGACTTTTTACTATGAATTTCCACAAACACACTAAGTGCTTATAAGTTAAATCTTTTAACAAGTGGTGTGAAAAATAGGATGGAGTATTTTACTTACTATGAATTTCCACAAACACACTAAGTGCTTATTGGTTAAATCTTTTAACAAGTGGTGTGAAAAATAGGATGGAGTATTTTATTTTAAGTGAATGTATGAGAACTCTTGAATATTTGAGATTTTGTATCTAATTGAATATTAATTCCTAAATTGTCTTTGCATACATATTATATAGTTGCATTCTTGCATTGGGATTTTGTGAGTAGATCCACTGAAAACCCTCACGAGACACAACTCGTCCACTAGGGTGACCTAGGAGTTTAAAGGTTTGTTGCACATGCTAAGTACAATCGTGATTCCTACGAAAATGAGTTCGGTTTTATTTTTGTTTCTTTTGACTTTTTATTTTGCTCGAGGACTACCAAAACTTAAGTTTGGAGGAATTTGATGAGTTGAATTTGTATACATAGTAATGTGGAATTATTGTCTTGATATTATTGATATTTGGATGAGTTTTATGAGATTTTACTAAGTTTTATGAGATTTTACATGATTCTCACTCTTTGTGTAGAAAAGGGCTTCAATGCATAAAAATAGGAAGTTTTAGGATTAATTGAACATCTTATAAAAGTTGAGGGACTGAATTGCAAGAAGAAGGGCGACTGTTTGGGACCTAAATGAATGAATCTTGAGTTTTGGGATCTAAGTTTCATCGTACAAAAGTTGGAGGACCAAATCTGCTATTTTACCATTGAAGAAATTGCAAAAAGAGACGAGAAATTCAACGCGGGTGTAGTGTCGATACATAATTGGGATGTCGACACCATGCGTTAAGTGTCCAGAATTAGACTTTTTGTTTCTATTTTGTGTTGACACGTAATTTGCGGTGTCAGTACTGTGCATTCAGCATCCAAAATTCAAGTTTCTTATTTTTGTTTCAAGTTCTACTTCTATTTCAATTAGGATTTCTAAAATCCTATAAATACCCATCCAAATTCAAAATTAAGGGAGCTGGTGGAGGCAGGTGGCAACTCTCTTTTGGGCACTCTTAGAGGTCAAGATAGAGGATCCATCAACAAGATCAAGAATTTCAATTACCTCAAATTATGTTTTGTTTTTCCTTAAATATTTTTATGTTCATAACTGTGATTTCAGATTTTATTATTTTTATTATGAACTAATTTATTTGATTAAGGTTATGATGTAGCCTAATCGATTTAATATAGATTTTGTGATTTTTATGCTTTCAATTAAAGTTATTCACATGAGGAGTTTATATTATTGAACTTAATGTATTGGAAACCTGATCACCTTTCAATTGATTTAGTGATTTATGCATGAACTTAAAAATGAATTACATAAATTAGACCAATAATCATATGAACCGTGTGTTAGACTATGAGACCGAGAGGTAATTAACTCACATGTGATAGTGGAGGAAGAGAAGAGAGTTAAGAACTCCCCCTTCTTAAGCTAGAGGTTTTCATAGAATTTAATGCTCATTAGTTTGTTTAAAATTTTATAGAGATATGACTAATTTAACAAATAAGTAAATGATTAACTTAACTTGAGAAAACTAGTTAGTTAATTTAGAGAAATCCGCAATCACATATAATAATACTCAATAAATTGGTTTTAAAAGTATATTAATTCAGAATTTACATTGATTGATTATGGTGAAGTCGATGTTTTAGTACCTCATATCTTGATTAGTTTTATTTTAATTGTTATTTTCTTTTTATTATTTTTAATTAAAGTTTCTTCCTTTTCGATTATTTAAATAAATTTAAATTAATTATTTTGGTACTTAATTAGACACAATACTCGTGAGTTCGACACTTTTCTAATCATTATATTACTTGCATTTTGGGCCTCAAATGCCTCCAGATTGTACTTCATTGGCTGTTCCTTTTCTCCAATTTCAAGCTTCAAATGGCCATTTTTAGCCTCAAATGCCTCCATATTGGACTTCATAAGCCTTTTCTGTTCTTCAATATCATGCTCCAATCGCCCCTTTTCATTCTCAAATGTAATCATTACGATTCCCTTTGCTTCAATTTGATTCATAAATATCCTATAATCAACCAAAAACGCCCTTAGATTGAACTTCATTCGTCGTTCTCTTTCTTTAATTTCATCCTTCAACCTCTTATTAGCAGCTTCAAATGCCCCTATATTGGACTTCATCAGCTGCTCCTCCTGACATGGCTCTTGTTTTTCCTGAATTTCAGGCTTTAATGGGTCATTTCTAGCCGCAAGTGATGCAGCAATGCGACTGTATTCTTTAGTAGAAGGCGAAAGAATAGTTTGCCCTGTGCTCCTTGGGCGCTTCTGTACAAGTACACTTTTTCTTATCTGAACACACCATATACACATAAAAAAAAATTAAGACCAAACTCATAAAGTGCAAATGAAATGATAAAAGAGACGCAGATCTTTTACCTTGGCAAACATAAAACGAGCTTCAGAGAAAAAGTCATCAACTGGGACTCGCGGTGGAGATAAACGGAACTCTGGTGACACATCGATTGTAGGTGAAGTTTGGTCCAATAGTTCCTCCCACAAGGAATCTTGAAATCCATCAGAATTCTCAGTGAACGTTCCCGGTGATTGAAATGTCTGCTGCGTTCTACTTGTGCCAGCTGGCTGAGTCACCGGCAGTGTAGTCGCAGCAGCCTGAGAGCCTTGATTTGTCAATCTATTGTGTTGCGGCTGCGCATAAACGTGTGTGCCTGGAGGTTGAGTTATATTTTGTTGAACCTCATCCACCTTTCGATTCAGGGAGACAAATCCATCCACTACCAGTTTAATTTGGGCCAGCAATGGTTCCATATTAGTAGGAGACACTTGTCGTTGATTTACAGCACCAATTACGTCCAGCAAGGACTTGGTTAGCTCCTTCTTTTCTTCTAATTCACGCTTCAATCTCGCATTTTCAGCCTCAACTACCTCAAGCTTGGATTTCATCAGCTGCTCCTGTTTATCCTTTTCCTGAATTTCTTGATTTAATCGATCATTTTCTTCTTCCAGTGCCTTTCTTGTATCCTGAAATAGTGAAATACAATAAATAAAATATTATTTTAAAAAATCTAAGACTTTTTTTTGAGAATGTGATGTTACAATGTAATTGTAATCTATATTTTTTATTATCTTAAAAATATATAAAATATTAATTATTTACTTAAAATTAATTAAAAATAACAAATTTACATATCTAAGCAAGCTCCTATGCAAAAAGAATATGTAAAGCATACCGAGATTACGTTTATGTCCTTTCCTCTACTTTGAAAATCTAGGGTGAATATTAACAGTCGAGGGAAATTAAGACGGTGGCAGAATGGTAATAATAAAGGTTAAGATGGACTTTATTTTCTGGTTGATTGGGAGTAGTTGATGGAGTTTCTACCGCGGGATATTAACAGTTCTGAGTTGTATTACGTTTACGTGGCAATAATGTAATTTAATCGAATTTTCACTGTTCATTATAATTCTTAGGGGTGGCAAATTTTCCCCATTCTCTTTTTGCCTTGTCATTTTTCTCTATTTTCTAAAAAGTCCTAGGCCGTTATGGTGCTAAAATGAATGTGGGATTGGGATATTCTATTAAGCTACAAGTGTTTTTTTTTTTTTTTTTCCGTCGGTCAAATATCAAACTTTACGCCTAACAAGTTATTATGGGTGGATGGAATAAAATTGTAGATGCTTTGTTACCGACTGTGCAGCACCAGACATGTCTAAGTGGAATCCTAAGTATCCCACATGGGTTTTGGATTAATACAACACACTTATCCACTTTCAAAAAAAAAAAAAAAAAAAACAAAACAAAACACCTTCCCCCTAACTCAGAATTTTCTATTAGATGGAAAGGAACAGGAAGATTCATCAGTAATTTTTAAAGTCTGAGATTGCTGTGAGGAAGATACTTCCTCTTTTATCATTGGTTGTTGTTTCACAATGAGGGCTTGAGAGATTTGTTAGACATTAACAGTTTGAGTTTACATTCTTTGTAATAATTTACTGTTTAATTGTACATGTAATTTCTGAATAAATAAAATTTTTACATTTTATTCAAAAAAAGGTTTCTATTGGGTTGTAAGGCCTTTTTTTTCTTCTTCTTCTTCTTTTTATGTCATTTGCTATTTCAAATTTCAATTGGTTATTTACATGTTACTATGCAGAATTTTTTTCTTTTCTTTTCTTGTTTTTTAGTTGTGTTTTATTTTAATTAGGTCTTCTTTCACAAAGATAACTACAGATGGCCAATAATAATAATAATAAAGCCCAAAGAACCTGTGCATTTTTATACCACCAAGTATACCCAAATTTATAATCACTTTCACTAGAGACAGAGATGTTTACCCTTTGTTTGTCTCTGTATTTTTTATCGTTCATTGTCCTTTTGTTACGCCGTTCTTCTTCCCTATCTTTACCGATGTTTCTTTGTGAATCAGGATCCATAGTGGTAGTTGCCAACAACTGCGTAGCTACAGCAGTCTAATTGCCTTGACCTTGATTTATCCCCGACTCTTCCATTAAATCTGCAGGTTGACCTAATTGTTTCTGCGGATCATGCTAATTGCTTTGATCTATGGAAATACTCTGACGCAGCTTGTCGAAACTATTATCATGAGGATTGACTGCTTCAAATTAAGACGTTTATATATCAAAATTAATAGGAGAAAAGGTGAAATTCATGGAGGGATCAAACATTTATTACAAATATGTTATTAATTATTACGAGGAGAAGCAAAGATTTTTTTTCATGAGATTGAAATTTTACACTTACAGAATTGTCCTCTCCATTATCGGGTTGCCCATTCTTCACTGGCTCGACCCCGAATTCCAGAGTTCGTTTTTTGACTTTTTTTTAGCTGGGGGATGTAAGAATAGTATATATATATTCAGAGGACCGTTCGATCATCTGTCGGGTTGCCCGTTCCTTTCGTTCGACTTTTATTTTCTGACAAGTCAACAACCACGTGGTACCGTAACAGAACGTGGTGCCGTGTTTAATACTGCACTTCATAATAGGAAAATGATTCAGATTTTTCTTTATAAGTTCGTGG